TGTGTGTGTGTGTGTGTGTGTGTGTGTGTGTGTGTGTGTAATAATCATGGATATGTGTGTGTGTGTGTGTGCGTGTGCGTGTGTGTGTATGTGTGTGTTTCCGCAAGGTGTTGCCTTCTTATAAGATCCTAACTGCCCCTCTCTCTCTCTCTCTCTCCTTTAGCTGGTTCCTATTACCAGCAAGATCCTTGTGTATAAGAAACTTCATAACAAGTTTTATTGACTGAGTGTTGTGGAAGTAATTAAAGCGACGTTGCACCTGTGCCGTCACTGAAGCACTTTGTGATTAGAGTAGAGAGCAGGTGGATGGATTTTTTTTTTTTTACATTACGACGGAAATGACCCAAACCTCATTACAAATCCCTAAATTCCCCACATTTATCAAGTCCGGGACAAAATAACGGGGATTAAGCAAAAATACCTTATAGAACATAAGAACATAAGAATGGAGGAAACTGCAGCGGGCCTATTGGCCCATACTGGGCAGTCCCGTTTACACCCAACCCCTATTGCTCATATGAGCATCCAACCTATGTTTGAAGCAATTCAGCGTATTCGAGTTAATGATGATATATGGTAACTTGTTCCATTCATCCACTACTGTTTCCAAACCAGTGTTTACCTATTTCACGCCTAAATCTAAATTTGTCTAATTTAAAACCATTGTTACGAGTTCGCTCCTGGTTGGATAATTTGAGTACCTTTGTAATGTCCCTTTGTTTAGCCCTGCCTTCCACTTATACACCTCTATCAGGTCGCCCCTCGCTCTACGTCTCTCAAGGGAGTGCAAATTAAGATGCTTTAAATCTGTCTCTATACTCAAGGTTCCTAATGCCCGGGATTAGTCTTGTCATTCTCCTCTGAATTCTTTCCAAGGATTCTATATCCATTCTGTAATACGGTTACCAGAACTGATTCGTAATCCAGGTGTGGTCTCACAAGAGCAAGATACAGTTTTAGGATGACCTCGCTAGTCTTGTAACTAACACTCCTTTGTATGAACCCAAGTACTTTATTAGCCTTGTTACGAGCAAAAACACATTGTTTACTTGGCTTAAGGTTCCTACTTATCATTACTCCTAAATCTCTCTCGCAGTAGGATTTCTCTATGGCATCGTTGTTCATCTGGTATCTGGTTTCCCTGTTTACATCTCCTATACTGAGTACTTTACATTTGTCGACGTTGAATTTCATCTGCCATTTTTCAGACCATTCGAAAAATTTGTTTAGATCTTCCTGTAGTTTTGCCGAGTCCTCATCAGATTTGATAACACGTCCTATTTTAGTGTCATCAGCAAATTTACTTATGTTGCTGTCTATGCCGATATCTATGTCGTTTATGTATATAATAAATAATAATGGTCCAAGTACTGAGCCTTGGGGAACTCCACTTGTGACGTTGCTCCAATGGGACTTAGTGCCGTTAATGCTCACTCGCTGTTTCCTGTCCTGTAACCACGCCCTAATCCATTTAAGGATGTCACCTTTGATGCCATGAGCTTCTACCTTTCTAATTAGTCTTTCGTGGGGACTCTGTCGAAGGCTTTGCTAAAGTCGAGATATACCACATCATAATTGTGCCCCTCGTCCACCGATTCGAAAACTGATGAAAAGAATGTTAATAGATTCGTTAGGCAAGAACGTCCGCTTGTGAAGCCATGCTGGGAATCATTGATCAATCGGTGCTTCTCCAGGTGATTTCGAATAGTTTGAAATGATTGCTTCCAGTAATTTGCCTACTATTGATGTTAGACTGATTGGGCGGTAGTTAGAGGATAGTGATCTATCCCCCTTCTTGAAAATAATTTATCCAATTACCCGATTCTTAAAAAAAATGGAATAAAAATCATATCAGTTTACAATACTGCAGTAACATTGCAGAAACAGAAAACAACTGATCTTTTCCAAAGATTTGCAACAAGTTTCAGAACTTTTCGTGAAAATTTGTAAGGAAATTTATGCGTTTCAATGTTGGACGGAAAGACGGACAGAGACATGAACGGACAGATGGAAGGAATGGCAGGAAAAACACGTATATTCGGCTGTAACCTAAAACTTAGAACTTAATAACATGTGTATATATTCATGCATGCATGTATACATATCACACACTCATGGTCACACACACACACACACACAGACACACACACATAAATCCATGTACGACCTTACTATATATACTGTACATGTGTTTTGTGTTGTATGAACCAAGAGATATTTTTTCTCAAATAGAAAAAAATATAAGAAAGAGAGTCAAAGTGGAACAAACAGAAGGAAATATGAAGAGTGAGAATAAAAGATAGAGAGGAAATAAAAGTACAGAGACAGAGAGAAAATAGAAGTGCAAGAGAGAAAAATACATAGAGACAGAGAGTGAAATATAAAGAGAGAATAACATAGAACAGGAAAGACAGAAGAAAATGCAGAAAGAGAGAGATAGAGAGACAACAACGATTAAATAGACACAAAATGAATAAAATATTACGAGAGAGAGAGAGAGGATGTTAGATAAAGAGCAAGAGAAAGATAGATAGGTAGGTAGATAGATAGATAGATAGATAAATAGAGAGAGAGAGAGAGAGAGAGAGAGAGAGAGAGAGTGAGAGAGTGAGAGAGTGAGAGAGAGAGAGAGAGAGAAAATAAAATGTGCTGAAAAATAGCGAGAAAGAGTGAACGGAAGTGATACAGCATAGCGGAGAACTGAACGCCACTCAACACGACCAATATAGATAATGTTGACCTAAATTATGCTGCATTAGAGACACTCCCTTGTTGAACCTTGGGAAAATACAACACAACGCCCTTGTGTTACTTACTCCATCACGGAAATTCACAGTATACTGCTCGTGCATCCCAATAAAGCCCTTATACTCTATGTATGTAATAACACTTATACACGAATGCACAATACTTTCCGGTGGACTAATACAATAATGTATTTTAAAAGTTAAGGAATCATCTGGCTGGTGTTAGGGAGAGCAGGTCTAGTCATTAACCCAAAGAATCAAAAAACAAGTCTTAGAATTGAAGAAAAAAATCATCGAATGAACCTGATTTACAAAAAAATATTCAGAAGAAATAAAAACAACAGCGAGACAATAACTTCTTTGATCACCAGAAATAATATAACAATCTAAGAATGAAGAGAAAGGTAAGAGGATAAAGATTAAATAAAACACAAAGAAAGAAAAAATAATTACCAACAGCATAAAGAAAAACAACTGGGCTCTTCAACACTTAACACCGGAGGCCAGGTAGATTAAAAAACTTTAATCGACTGTGAGAGATTCTTAGTATACCAACTGTAACAGACCAATTACAAAAAAAAAATATACCAAAGCTTCGCCTATAATCATGTTAACTATTTTCTTTTATTTTACTTTTTCTTTTCATATTGAAGGTTTTGTTGAGTTACTCTTTCTTTTGTTTACATTCTTACTCACGTATACAATAGATACTACCACGAGATACAGGAAGTGTTGGTGGAGGAGGTTTGTCAGGGTCGTTCGGTGGGTGGTGACAGAGGAGAGGAGAGGAAAGGAGAACGAAAGGGAATTCAGGGATACACCAAGGGTAGTACTGTAACTCTCTGGGGTGTCCCTTATGTACTAACAGTGGCAGTGGCGGGATAACATTGGGGGAGGCACCACAAACTAGTTCTTGGGGGTGTTCAGTGAGTCATAAGAATAAGGAGAGGGGGGAGGAGGTGGCAATACGAGAAAGTTTTTGGGAGAGAGAGAATACTTGTAGCACCAATATGGAGGAAACAACAGCAAAGGAACGATTTACGGGAGAAAACATACTCTACTGTCGATGGTAAGCCAGATTAACATTACAAGGTTGATGAAGGGATGGAAACCACACAGGCGTTCTCAAAAACGCACTCTTAATAATAACAGGAAGGCGATATGGAACAGAACTTCAGAGGACACTTGTCAAGGTCGACAAGGGAGGAGTAGCAAGGAAAAGAATCCGAGAAAGCAATGGTAAATCTCACAGGGGTTCCTCTCCGTCATCCCGAGAATCTGTTGATATTGGAGAAGGAAGATATTGGCGTGGCATCTGAAGGTGATGATGATACGCTAATTCCTTGGGCAACAGCATGCCAGGGTGATAAGACAGGGGTTGGTGGGTGTTAGCGTGGTCAGACAGGGGGTGATGGGTGTCAGGGTAGTGAGACAGGGGGTGGTGGGTGTCAGGGTGGGAGACAGAGGGTGTGGGTGTGGGGTGGTGAGACAGGGGGTGGTGGGTGTCAGGGTGGTGAGACAGGGGATGGTGGGTGTCAGGGTGGTGAGACAGGGGTGGTGGGTGTCAGGGTGGTGAGACAAAGGCTGGTGGGTGTCAGGGTGGTGAGACAGGGGTGGTGGATGTCAGGGTGGTGAGACAGGGGGTGGTGGGTGTCAGGGTGGTGAGACAGGGGGTGGTGGGTGTCAGGGTGGTGAGACAAGGGCTGGTGGGTGTCAGGGTGGTGAGCCAGCACACAGAGGCTTCTTTCCTGTCAGCGTTGAAGTTCCTCACTTTATATTCTGAAGCACTCTCTTTCTCTCTCTCTCTCTCTTTCTCTCTCTCTCTCTCTCTCTCTCTCTCTCTCTCTCTCTGATGTAAACTTATATATCCACTTGACTGTTGATATACTCTGATCACTAAACCCTTTACCACAATCACCTACGGATAATTTGAACCCATACACCAAAGTTAGATGCTGTTAAGGTAGTCACTTACTTTGCCGATAAGATTTACCATTATTTTATAATCTTGCTGAATATCCAGCCAATCGAGTAAAGTAGACCACTACTTGCCCAAAAACAGTTTTTCATGGATAACTTAACAACACTATCACAATAAACAACTTTTCGTACACTAGAATTCATATAATCTTAACACAGTAGTTATCTTTATCCATAATAATTTATAAATCACACTTGGGTTGGACGTTACACTCGGATAATCTTATAAGAAACACATAACGCACGAGACCGCTCTACGGCATCAGTACTTACTCGCCTCGCCGCAGTCAGTAATACACTGAGGTCTGAACCCCGTTTACCCCGGATCCCCGACCCGGTCCCCGTCCCCTAGCTCTGCTACACAGGTGGCTGGCTGCTTCGTACACTTGTGCGGTGATACTGCACGAGGCTCTTTGTTTACATTGTGAAACTTTTCATTTATGTGAATATCTATTAAAAGATCCACTCCTTGAATATCCAAATAGGTTTTACACCTCGAGATCGATAACTCTTCAAGCAAGTCACGACAAGTTTGTCATGGGTTATATTCTCTAGGACACGACATAGCTGAAAATGGCATCAATATTTCACCAAGAATTTACCGTCAATGGAAAGACTTCTTCAACCCACTTCTGGGATGATGAGATATGTGTTAGGTATCTTTGACTGAATTTAACATAAGAACATAAGAACATAAGAATGGAGGAAACTGCAGCGGGCCTATTGGCCCATACTGGGCAGTCCCATTTAAACCCAACCCCTATTGCTCATATAAGCATCCAACCTATGTTTGAAGCTATCAAGTATATTCGAGTTAATGATGATATTTGGTAACTTGTTCCATTCATCCACTACTCTGTTTCCAAACCAGTATTTACCTATTTCGCGCCTAAATCTAAATTTGTCTAATTTAAAACCATTGTTACGAGTTCGCTCCCGGTTGGATAGTTTGAGTACCTTTGAAATGTTCCCTTTGTTTAGCCCTGACTTTCATTTATACACCTCTACCATTCCGCCCCTCGCTCTATGTCTCTCGAAGGAGTGCAAATTAAGATGCTTTAACCAGTCTCTGTACTCATGGTTCCTAATGCCCGGGATTAGTCTTGTCATTCTCCTCTGGATTGCATTGTCTCTCCTAAAACACTCGTTGTGGTGGCCTCTGCGCCCCGCTGCGTCATGATAAGGATACAAATTATTTAATTCTGTTATATCAAGGCTGAGTCAAGACCATTATGGTGGAGTTCCTTTGGTCTTAGTTTCTATGATGAATTTTTTATACTGTTTAAAGGTTCAAAATGAAAGTTAGTCAGCAGGGAGTAAGCGTGGCGTTATCGATGCAACATAATTGTACCCAATGATAACTTTCACTCTTTTCTCCCTTCGTGTTGCCTCACAATACATACAGTACAGAAAATTTTCATATTTTGACATGTAACTATTATTTTGTTTTTTATGATGATCATCTACGGGAGATGCAATTTGTTTGTTTGTTTGTTTACTCACCATCATGCGATGGCATAGAGCCAGAACCTCTGAGCTTCTGTCTCGATGCCATCGCTCAGAAGAACGTATATAAGCCAAGAGTCCCGTGGTAATTATGGGTAGAAACACTTCTTTGAGTATCAGGCCTCAGTTTGTATCATTGTTCTCGCGTGTCTCTTAATCAGCAAGAAGGAAAAAAGAAAACAAACAAGGGACAAAGTAAAAATTGGAAAAAACGAGAATTTACAAAGGAAGTAAACACTGAAACGCACCAACAAACAGTGCGAATAGCTTCACCTTGCTCTACTGACCTTCCCCAACACCCGCAAGAGAGTGGTTTATAGTCCTTGGATAGAGGATACACTGGCTCAGTGCTAACATAAACTTGATTAGTTCATTATACACGTTTACCTTCCTCTCCATCCCATTCTCATTCACTTTCTCCCATTTAGCCAGTCACCAAATATGACTTTAGTGATCTGTAGAGGGCGAGGTCTCAGGCACGAGTAAAAATACTTGACTCAACATACTCCGGAGCACTAGATAAGAGCGATTGGTGTCTGGATATACTGAGGTGTTTCATCCGAGCCACAACCTGGAAGATCATGACTCAAGGTGAAATCACACTAATATTGTATCTTCTTCGAGTTTGTTAAGGCGGTACCTATCTTCAATACATCATCACTTGTTCTGATCAGCATTGACTCCATTCAGATTCCTGACAATAATCTTGATGACCTTCACTCACAACTCTAAAAGCACACACACACACACACACACACACACACACACACACACACACACACACACACACACACACACACACACACACACACACACACACACTGGGGAAATGGTTATTCGAATCAATAGTTATTCTTAAAACTCAAACACAGGCGAAGTCTCCAGAACAAGACAATTTTTATCCAGTGTTCGTACTCAGTAAGTCGCTTGTTAAACTTTCATGATGCATCATTAATATTATCGGCCACAACTTGAAATAAATAGGATCTTTACATTTACCAAAACGGCTTCTAGAACTTTTTCTTTCCGTTCTCGCTCTAACCTTTCCTCGTGTCTTAACAAGAAATACTATTCTCGGTGATAAACACTACTCTTGGTGAAAATATTACTCTTGGCGAGAAACACTACTATTAGTGAGAAACACTGTTCTTGGCGAGAAACACTACTCTTGAAGAGAAACACTACTCTTGGCGAGAAACACTACTCTTGGCGAGAAACACTATTCTTGGCGAGAAACACTACTCTTGAAGAGAAACACTATTCTTGGCGAGAAACATTACTCTTAGCGAGAAACACTATTCTTGGCGAGAAACACTATTCTTGGCGAGAAACACTATTCTTGGCGAGAAACACTACTCTTGAAGAAAACACTATTCTTGGCGAGAAACACTACTCTTAGCGAGAAACACTATTCTTGGCGAGACACACTCTTCTTGGCGAGAAACACTATTCTTGGCGAGAAACTCTTCTCTTTCACCCACTTAAAACAAAGCACATCACTCGTCATTTAACCACCAGTCATCACCACACCCGACCTGCATTACCATGATGATGTTCCAGTATACCCTGGACCCAGGCTTGACTGAAAAGAATGTACTTTATAATGTGAAGAGATAATCGGTGTATGCTGATGGTATAGTGTTCATATACTACTAGCATATAACAATTATTTAGAAAAACCCAATGGTATGTTAGTTTATTTTGCTTAAGTCAAAGGTGTTGTATATCCTGTGATTAGAATAACCGATCATCTTAATTATATTGTATTGACGCTGGTTTAAAAAACGACAATTTTAATTACAGTAGAGTGTATCCATTATCAAGCTCTTCTGATTTTCGAGGGCATAAACATATATTTCAATTTTTAAGTAAACCTTTTATTTAAGTTCTATTACGAATTATCGTTTTCCCATGACTAATAGGCGCGTGGTTCCCTTGCAGTCTTACATCCTGGGCAGAAATATATATATATTTTTTTTTACTAGTTCTGTGATAAATGACTTTACATCCCTTTGATTGGATCGTATATTCTATAATGGACATATGAGCAATGTCTCAAGGGTTCTGGGTAAAGCATCTTTATAATATAAATTGCCACCCCAGAGTTCTGAGAACAACAATATCGTTTACGCCTTGTACACTCGCCACAAAAGTTCTGGAACACCTGGGCACGACAGATTTCAAAATGAGCACTATGGGCTCGTGTCGTCTTAGAATGGTTAGCATGTCTGGTTGCGAAGTGATTCAATATTTCGTAAAAATATATGTTGCTCGTCTTTATAGTATTTACAGGTGAAAAGAAGAAACTTAATTTGCCCAAAAATTTCCTCAGAGTGCAATGTTCAGATTTTACGTTCGTTTTGTCATATTGTATAACGCTTAGGCCTTAGGGCTCCGTGAGGCAGATAATGGACATACACAAGCAACCCCCTCAGCCAACTGTTTTGGGTAACACATACTTACAGAGCTCACTCCAGTATTACCCCAACAACGTAATAGGATGGGAAGGTAACCTCTCGGGAGCCCAACAACTACACCGGCGGATGAAGGCAATGCAAGTTGGACAGGCTACTAAGGTGAAAGCCAACAAACTAGGCTATTGGCAGTCCATTGCAACTCTCCCTCTCCCTAATTGTTGCAACTACCTGCACCGTTGGATCAGAAAAAGGGTGAGCCAAGATGTGTGGTTGCAGACTGTGCTCCTGCCTCACCACATAAATCAACTAACACGCAGCCATCATCCAGCTCATCATACTTTCCATCATCATCAGAATCCCTAAACCCTCAAAAGTCATATGGCAACAGACGAGTGGCGACGGGGACAAGCAAAGATGACTGCCGGGAGTCTCTAGTCACAACTCTGCACATGGGCGGCAAAGAGAAGATGGTCGTTTATGCACTGAGATCTAGGCAGCAGTGCAATCCGGTCCTGTCTGTGCGACTGAGCAGCCCTTTCCAGGAGCAACTCTGCTCACCCCACATACGGAGGGAGCTAGAAAAGGTGCCCTAAACATAGCCTGCCTAAAAAAATAAAAAATAAAAAAAATAAAAAATAAACTGTCTGGGCAACTGCACCCAGTAAGGTCATCCTAATTTCAGGACCATTCTGGAAACTGGCACAAATGAGCGTCCTGAAAGAAGAACGCCCTTCTGGCAAAAAAGCTGTTACAGGTATAAATAACATCGACATAGCAGCCATTAGTGAGTCCCGGCTCCCAGACGAGGGTCTACTCACAGAATGGGGTTCGGCTATACCTTCTTCTGGAAGGGTAAGCCTGCTGCTTTCCTATTCACCAATCCATCTTAAATAGAGTGAAATGCGTGTTTGGGTCAACGATCGCCTCCTGCTGCTCTGAGTCCCACTGAATGACTCACGTCATGCCTTTTTCATCAATGCATATGCCCCAACACTGGATGCAGAGGATGAAATCAAAGAGGCCTTTTATGCCGACTTTGGCAGAGTGCTAACCTCTATCCCCAGAGAAGATAAGGTTGTGCCCCATGGTGACTTCAATGCCAGAATTGGCATTGGAGAAACGGAGTGGACAAATGTAATCCCAACGGACTACTCCTCAGCAGCAAGTCTGCTGAACACAGTCTCACCATCACCAAAACATTGTTTTGGCAGACCGAAAAGTTCTAGGGTTCTCGGCAACACCCACGATCCTGACATTGGTATCTCGTTGACTAGAGTACATCATTGGCAGAAAAAGTGATAGCCGAGATACTCTCATTAGCATAGCCATGCGTGGGTCAGACCACTGTCATACAGATCATCCGCTAATTAGAGCCAAA